CTTGCTCATTTTGCTTCCGAGAAACATGCAAAACGGGACGGAAAACATGAAATTTTGCAATAATCTTGCGCCACCCTTGCACAAAACGACGATCACTTTTCTAAGTTCATAAACAACAGAAGACTGTAGTTTTTCTACATAACCCCTCCCCCCCGAACTTTAAAGCTGGATCAGCCACTGATCTAGATCATCATGCGAGTCCTAATTTCTAGAAAACATCGATTAACTCACCTCTAGGGGCTTCTTTGATAAATAATACTGTATTATTGCTTCTAGATGGTGCCCTACATGTCGGCCACTCTCTGCTTTACCCAACCACTAGTGAAATCGCTGTGAAAATACGGGCTGAGTTACTAACATCTTGAAACAATGGCACTGGCAGTATTTATGTGCAGCCACTGTATGCGAGCTAAGAAAATGCTGGAAAACCATTCAAGTGCTCGTGTTCAGATTGACAGTGAAAATCGCGATGGACAAAATTAGATGACCTACTTGTTTACACGCTGATCACGTTATTGATAACACGATGACGAGCGCTTTAAAAAATTGTTTTTCCTGAAACTTGAATCACATTTGCACTTCGTCCTCTGCTCATGTCGTATCCACTAGTCGGTTTGTTCTCCTCTCATCAGTTTCTTAAAAAAGCTGCTCTTTTAATAGCTCGGTTACTTGCCACGCGGCCCATCTATTTTTAACAACGGTCTCTTTGTTGGCAATTCAGCGGGGGGGAAACGAAAAGCCCTGCAACTATTCGATGAGTTTAATGAATTAGCATACACATCAATATAACTAACAATACCAGAAAACCTAAACCTTAGGGAAAAGTAATATAATATGAAAATTGCCCACAGTTCGTGTAGGTGTACGCCAACGAGCTCGTCAATCGCCATCCTACATTAAAGAACATTATTTTGCCTATTGACATATATGTTAATTACGACGAAATATTCAGGTACAACCTCTATACTTTGCATTAAATAAATGCTCCCTTTACACAGTATACAGTTGTATATCATATTCTGGGGCACCATACTCAACCATTACATGAACAGTGTTACAATAATAAGTATTACGTACTAGTGCCTACATACAATGATAAGGCTAAAGCTACTATAATATTCATAATAAACACCTTTAAATATTACTAGATTAAAGGGCATAAATCCTCGGACGATTATTGATACTGAATTCCAATTTATGCCTTAATGAAATATTTATATAGTGCATATTATAAGATAAAAGGGCCGTAGGTTAACAAACAAATTGTTTTATTCTGAAAAAAACCACTAATTCTATGCAAAGTATAGCTTGTAAAAACACGCTATCCTTCTCTTGATTTATTGGGCTGGCCGATTATAACTTACAATCAAATGTTGCTCGTAAAATACAATTGAAAAAAGGTAAACGATTCATGCTTTTATCAATCTTCAATATCTTCTCCCGGTAATCAATATATATATATATATAAATTGTATATACTTTCCTGACTGTGTTTCAATTCAAAATCAAATCTATTCCTGCGTTTCAGTCATTTATTGTCTCTATTTATTAATCAAAATACGTTTCGGTGTATTTTTCCACCATCATCAGTTTTTATATGTAGCGTTGTTGCTGCT